ACTTAGGTTTATCCCGTCTCTACAACTTTTTAAGAATTTTGTCATATGTATATATATATATGTATATTTATATATCTCTCTCCTGCTGCTGATTATTTTTCTCAACACAGAACAGAGAAAAATGATGTTGCGTTGATCACATGTTATCGTGTTACATTTCTAGTTTGAGAAGATAATCTTACACAGATGAGGCCTTTAACACTGAACCGAGGCGTAGGCTTACATATTCATCGGGGACATGACCCAGTCGACAATTTTGGAGCGCAACACTGTTCTTGGGAATTTTTGAGCAATCCTCTACTTCATTACTCGTGAAGTGAGGTCATAATAGATCGGTCCAATTTAGGGTCTCAGAGGCTGCATACTGATCAATGTCAGCATTATACGGGAGGTTGGGGGGGTGGAGGGAGGGGCGCTATGAGAAGGCTTGTGTCATTTGTGTTGCACGGATGAGGCAAGAGTCGTTGAAATTTGAATATTTGTTTGAATAATTTTTTTAAGTTAGATTTTGAAATCTCAACAGCCTGGTTAAGTTTAGGGATCCCAATTTCCTGGTTTGACAAGACAGCAAAACCTGTTTAAGTTTAAGAACTACATTTAGACGGTTAGGTTTATGATATGATTGTGATAAGAAATACTTTATTCATAGATGGATGCTTTATATTAACAGTTTTTCCAGCAGTTTGTAATGATAGTAGATGCAGAATAGACTGTAACTGAACAAGTCCCCCTGTTCAATTATGTTGTTTGTATGATTCTTTACAGCATCCTCTAAAATACAGGAGTCAACAGATCTCAAATTAGTTTTCCAAATCAGAATACATGATTTTCTTGTTTTTCTTTGAAAAAATAAGGAATAAATCAATAAATAAAGCAGCAGAAGGAGGGGATTTGGTGGCATGTCGGACACTGAGCTCTTAGCCTGCGTTTGTGAACCATGAACACATGTCGCAACCGATACAATGTGACCATTTCCAGGTTGCCTAGGAAGCATGTAAACAAAACATGTTACAACTAAATTTTGTCACGTCCCATTGAAACTGTTCTGCAAAGCTTTTAAAAACGAATATACACACACACACACACTGAAAGTGAGAGCAGCTGTGACAAACATTGCCATCCATGTCATGTTGTATAAATGTTCTTCAACCCCAATCATGCTCTATTTCTGATCCTATCCCGGACATAAAGAAATAAGAAATGATTAAGTAATATAACATTTCTTTTGATAACCATGACAATCTGTGTTTGTGTAGATTGTACCATGTTTATGTGTAAACCCAACCAGGAAAGTGTGTGAATAGACTGCTTTCTTGGCCCTAGTTGAACACACTATGCTCTGAAGCCTGCAGTTGAAAGCATAGTTTGATTGTAACACCTGTTGAGTAGTTTGATTACTTTGAAAACACCCAATGTGGATTTCTGTGGAAGCAGTTTAGCTGATTTATTCAACCAAAATATGCATGAAGACCAGGAATCTTTCCTAGGGAAGCACATATTGTGATCAACAGCCAGTCTCACTACCAGGAGCAACATTCCCAGCAGCCCCCATATTTAGAAGGTAGCATCTGCTTTTGTCTCCTGCTGCTGACAGAGCTAAACCACTTCTGTCTACAATGGGTCTCTCCATTACACAACACATTTCTGCTTTACAATTAGTACATCCTGCATGCAGAAAATGTCCTAAACAAATCCAACCATTACATGTCTATTGAAAAGCTGTGCTATAATCCAAAGAAACCAAAATAACTCAACTCCCTACATCCTACACACTCATATCACGGCCTCTACAGGAACCGTTAATAGGATTTTAGGCCTCCATGGACACATTTGCCCAAACACTTGTGGCTAGGACATAAGAAAAGACGAGTAAGCAAAACAAAAACATTTATACAAACTAACTCCCCACCTTCCCGCCTTAAATTTATTGCACAGGCTGACTTTTTCTCACCAAACAATGACCAATTTATATCTCCACACTGACACCTGCCTTGTTGCCTTCAAAGGCACTCAACAAGCTCAACAGCCGTTTGGTGCCCAGAAACCCGAAAATAGTTCCAAGATACTTAACCGATATTCTAATAAACATTTCAAGAGATATTGTGTGTAAATGTTTACTTTTGTGCAAATTTGTGCGGCATTAAGGAGCAACTAGTTAGTTAAAGTGCTAATGTGACTGAATGAGTTGCCTTAAGTTCTATAAGTATTTACATAATACAATTAATTGAAATGATATTTTCTTCAATGGAGCGAAAAGGTGGTATTTTGGAATACATTTAGTTTCATTCAGTAGTATGAAGAAACCGAATTTGTGTCGATTTCAGCTGGATGAACTGTTCTTACTAGGTTTGGGCACTACAATCCCTCAATTAAGATTCTAAGGATCAGGATAAGGATGAAGAGACAATCATTTTACAACAAAGCCATCACAATCAAAGATCTTGCTTTTATACTTTAAATGCTGTTATACTAACAACTTCTAGAGCCTGATTTGTTTCAAATATAAGTATAGGTTTTATAGGCCTGAAAGAGTGTGCAATCCATTGGGTTATTTCGTATTATGAGGATGGGGTGTGGGAAACAGAAAGTAATGGGAAGTTGTGATGTTTTGGGATTGCAGCTGGGGGGCCTTTCAGTGTTTGCTTGCTCTCCCCCATGTATGCATGGGTTCTGTCTGGGTATTCCAACCGTCCAAAAGCATGTATGTCAGTGTAACTGGCAGCTCTGGGTTGACCATGGGAGTGATTATGAGCGTGCATGCTTGTCTGGCGATGGTGATGGACTGTCACCCACTGACAGCTCGGGTCAGCTCTAGTCCACTGAGACCCTACCTGGGACTAGGATAGCATAGAAAATGGATGGATGTTTCATAAAGGCAAGGTGTAGCCACCAGTGCACATATAGTTAATAAAAAATAAATAAAAACAATCATAAGTTCAATGGTCATAGGAAGAAAATGATTTCACAGAGGCTATTGTCATTATTGTCCGTTCTTTCAGCCCCATTTCAATTTGGATGAAAAGTTTAATTGTGCAACTGGCATTCTTATCTAAGAATTGTATTTCTATAAGTGAATATGAAAACATTACATGTGCAGACCAGATGGAAACGACATGAGATAATTCTCAGTTCTTGATAAAGTGATTTTTTTTATATATTATGACCACATCATATATGTACAATTTAGATATATGGTTTATTATCATTTCATTTTGAGTTTTAAAATGGACTCATTCTGACTGATATCTGCATAGTGCTTGTTCTCAATGGGAAAAGTCCCCTCTGATATCTTATTGAGTCTTCACAGCCACTTGCCAAGTTTAATTTGACCGGGGACCATAACTCTCCAGGCAACTACTACTAAACATGCCAGACAGGTCTAGCTGTCTCCTCAGTCTCTGATCGATATCAAATTGTCTCACAGAACATCAGTAATCACAGCGGAGCGCGTTTAGACCCTCCAGTCTACGGTCAGGCCAACACCGCTCACCACTAACGTGTGGCCAGCCTTTTCAAGAGTTCTTTGACAGTTTAACATCTTTCCCCCAACACCTCCTTCATCCTCCTTACTACCCTCTCCTACTTCCTCTTTCCTTTCTCAGTTGTCCTTATTAAACCTGGAGGTCCCGGGGGGGGCTCTGATTTCCTGGCCCTGACTGTAGTGAAGTCAGCACTGCATGTCCACACAGACAACCCTCATAGTCATGGTAAGAAATTGAGTTTGATTCCTGCAACATCTGGAGGATAAAGACATGTTGGCTCTTTGAAATAAGATATTTCTGTCTTTTTTTGTTGTGTGAAAAGGTTGACAAGATCATACTTCATTATATATTGCATTTCATTTCTACTATCAACAGAATAGGAATAACTCTCTTATCATAATGCCTTTAGCCAACCTTATGTAGGTTTACAATTAAATAAATAAATACAGATTTTCTGTTGTAATGTAGACAGATGATGTTCTCAAGTGTGGGGATCAAGTTGACGACAAATAAAATTAAAAGAATACAACAATTCTTTTAACAAGAAAGAGTTTTAAGAAGCCTTTACTGATAAGTTTACAACCAAGTGGATAGTTGTAAACTTATGGCTAAATGGCTATGGTAGCATATGGCTAATTTATATTTCAGTTCAGTGTTTTGTATTAATCTAGTAGTGGGTTTGTCAGTTGTTTTATAGCCTTTAATCTCTAAAACCCATATGGTAAAAGAAAGAGTTTAAATTCATTCATGCTAATATTTAAATCAGCTATGTTTTAGCCACATGAAAAAAAAAGAGGGCCACTCATGTATGATTTTTCAAAAAAGTATTCTTACTAGTTCTTCTGCACTCATAAATGCAAACTTTAACGTGCTTTACGTTTCTTTTTAAATGAATGTTAAAGTTTTCAGTTAGAACCAGTCGATTACAGGATAAGCAGTCAAATAATCATGCACACCCTTGATTTTTTTAGAATTTTTCCAAAGATATCCCTGTGCTCAGTGTACACGCCCACTCCATGCTGAAATGTGAATAAAGAAACTGCTTGTAACCACGATGATAACAATCAATGGTAGTTTGTGACTGACATAGATGTGCCACAACATGAGCCTGTGCGTAAAAACTGAAAAAGCAAATCTCTGAATATTGCCCTTATGCTGTCCGTGCAGTGGGGAAGTAAATTACATCGCCGGGAGCAGCTTCTGAGGAATGAATGGAGCCTTTTCTATTATCACAAGGAAAACTTCTCCCGGGGGACGTGGAATTTCAGGAGGGTTTCCCCTCTAAAACATACATACACGGGTACACTTTAAAGGTGGAGAGTAATTTAGCACTTCCTCTCTTTGAATAAAACCCTTTGAACTAAATCAATTGCAGCCATTCATCCAAATCCACGTGTACATTTTTTTAAAAGAATGTCTCTGCGTTCAGTAAGAAAGAGCTTTTTTGTGACGTTTAAAAGGTCTATTTGCCATTTCACGACTTTTGCTAAACGTCAGAAGAATGAAATGAAAACTCACCGTTTTGCTCCTTTACAGTTGGAAGGTGAAATTTGCTGACATGACTCAATTCAGCTTCCGTGTCGGATCGTTGGAGAAGCGATGCAAGAAGGAGTATTAATGATAGGATCATTTGGATGAGTGGTGGTTGGTCACAAAGCGCTGTAGACGGGATGGTTTGTATCACCACACGCGCGCGTCGTTGACAGGACACCAGTGCTGTTTCGGACACATTTGGGGAGGACAAACGATGAATAAAATCCACATACTCTTAATCATTAGTCCTTCCGCAGAAACTGAAAACTCGATGAAAGAGAACAAATCTTTTTTTTTTTCCCCAGAGCTTTCAAATGTGCCAGCGCAGCGCAGCGCAAACGCGCACCTGTTGGCTCTGAAGAAAGTTGGAACAAAGTTTGCTTTTAAGCTCTTACAATCCCGGAATGAGTTGGAAAATCGTCCGCATGCACGTATACATCGTCTATAGGACGAAACTCTTAAAAAATACACAGATACATTTTGGCTCAGTGCGCGTCTGGGGTGCGTTCTATAGTCGCCGTTCCTGTAAATCCCAGCAGATGTTTACGCATTAAAGCAAAAGCCCACTGACAGAGAGTGCGCGGCAACCCGATACGCTCCTTAACCAGAAACTACACACGCAACAACCAGACGGGTTCTGTTGTCTGGCGCAGTCTGGAGTCATAACTTGGGAGTCTGAGATGAAATATCGCCTCGCGGACGGGGTTGGGTTTTGGGAGACTGGCGACTGACGGCACAACAGGTGCTATACATAAAGCCAAACTTTTCCCAGCAGAGGAAACTCCCCGTGATGTTAACCATTCCTCTGCTGTCTGGTTGAATGAGCTGTTCGTCTTGTTGCTCATTTTCTTTCTTTCATGGTTGCAGATTAACATGTCCACCAGAAAAAAAAGGGGAAAAAAATTGTAACTTTCAAGTCTGCAACATAACTGAATTTGACTATTTCAGATAAAAAGAAAGTCTTGGCTTTGGCAAGTAACAACAACAACAACAGTAATTACAACAAGAAGAATTAGACACAGCTCATTTCCTCGGTTTACTTTAGCTTTCCAAGCAAAATTTTGGTTTCACTGTGGTCAGCCAAATGTGTGAGAAATACAAGGTCCATCAATGCAGTCCACTGTGTGTTTTCATATCAGTTGTCTCACGATTCAAAGTGAAACTTTCATCACAAAAAAGAAAAGCTTCCTTTTTGCTGTGGTTGTTTGAAAGCTTGAATCGTTCCTCCCCGTGGAGAAATGAAAAATAAATGTCTACCTAGAGCGAAATTCTTTGAAATGCTGTTGTGCGTTTTCGCCCAAATGTTTTTCTGTGGAAGGAAATGTTCAAGGGGGCTTCTCAATTTGTCATATCAAAGCAGAGACACCGCTTGGAACAATACTACCCCTCCTGTTCCCAATTTCCTTTCTCCCCGGCGCAGAGCGGTACCTCATCAACTGCGTTTCATGTGGTTCCTCCCATCCTATTGTTGGCCAAAGCCACCGGAGCATCTCCCCTGCCGTATGGTCGAAATCCGCCGTAGCACAGACACAACAATCAGAGCCGAGCTGGAGACATATTGAACCCATTGAGCAAGACGCATGATGCAATGCCGCAGCAATTTACCCCCCAGTCTCACACAGCTCAGGAATGACCACCTCAAAGAGAACACAGGGCAGGCATCTCTGCAGCGTCAAGGTAGGAAAAGGGGGGAGTTTTATTGGTTTTAATTAGGCGTAATGGTTGAGCAAAGAAAGGCATGAGGCATTGATTCAGTCATTTCATAACGTTCGTAACGTGTTGCCCCCGTCGAGAGGGGCACGCAGAGGTCTTGATGTGCTTTCTGCAAGGGCCCAAAAACTCTTTGTGTAAAGGAGAGTATCACATTCCAGCCCTGCAAGAGCCTGCAGCAGATGTCAACACTTCACATTGTGGAATCCCTCTCTCTTTCGCTCACACACACACACACACACACACACACACACACATAGGCGTACACACAACCAATCAGGCCCACAAGGTTTTGTCTGCTAAAGTTGGCTATTTTGTCTCGACGTCCACGTTTGAACGCCTGCTTTCACGGTGGTCTTGTGAAACGTTCGGTCTGTGATACACAAAAAATAAAATAAACAGAGGAAATTAGGAACATGGTAAACCTTGTGGGTCACAGCTTACATGTGCAGACATGCCTGCAAAGAGGAGGAGAAGGAGGGCTCTGCGACCACTGAACAAACTGAGGAGGGAAATTCTTATGATAGAGAGTTCCTAGTTTTTGGACAAATCACAAAAGACTCGGACAACATATTGTCGAATATACAAATGCCCCCCACCAATCAACCAATGGGAAAAATTGCATCTGTCACAGGTTCTGAAAAACACTGGTTCTGGGGGGAACACATGGGTATAGGTGTGCTTCCTAAAATCAAATCCCAACATTGTTCCACCTAGATGGAAAAAGAAAACTTTAATTTATATGGAAATCAAGGTTTTGTATTGAATCTACTGACAGCATTTTATTGTGTGGACCCTAAAAGTGGAATTGAAAACAGATTACTTGTCCTCTTCTCCTCATGGTATTCCTTAACTGCCTTAAAAAATGTAAGATCTCATTTCCAAGATCCTGGCCATGGTTTGACTGTCTGCTGCTACAGAACTAAATTAGTTTGATCTCTATTGTATTCTTACAGGTTGTTATGAAAGTGTGGCCTCTTGGTGATCAATTGCCCCTGGCTGCACTTGGCTTTGAAACCAGAGCCCCCTGGTGGTGCCCTACAGAGCTACAGGCCGCCTTTTGCCCTCACAGCCCACTTCTGACACTTCAAATGCTGCGGAAAATGTCTGATCCCTTTTAAAACTAGATATCTCTTTAATTCCAGTCTGAGAAGCGTATCTCATCCTGTGATTTTAAAAATGTATTGGATAAAATACTGTCTTCTGATGGAATCATCTATCCAACCATGCAACAGTTATCTAATCTGCGTATGGCTTTTAGGGTCATTCAGGGGCTGAGGCCTTCGTCTTCAAGCCTATTTGATTTCAATCTCTAAAAACATTCATTGTTGCCACAGTAAAGACCGGTCCTGACGGTTGTTTTTCACTGCCTGGTTTCCTCCTGTCAGTCAAAGCTGATTCACAGTTCAGTGCTCCTGCAGAGTCAAAGTGAAGGGTTTTATATCCATGCTGTTTAGAATGTGATTTATTGCTTCATTTGCAATGCTGACTTCTCTACTCACGGGAAAACCGTTGTCGGACAGGTAGATATGCATGTTCTCGCACAAACATGATCTTCTGCAATCATTATGGAGCACAGATTACCTAAAAAGGTCGATAAGTAATAAATAAGTCACCATGCCTTTTCCTACGACACATTTTGTAAGTTAAATCTCACTCTTCTAAATAACAGTGTCATGTTTTTCTACAAGCGTGGTGTATCAGAATGACACTTTCTCAAAATAGAAACAGAAAATTGATGTAATTTTCATCAGCAACCAAAGTGTGACATGTCTGGCACAGTCCCTGCAAACTTTTTTTGTTCACAGATGGCAGTTTGAAAATGTATTTAACTCAGTTTATTTTATACTCAATAGTTTGGCTTCTATACTTTGGGATTAAGACTATATTCACACTTTAGGGTTTTGATTCATTCTTGCAGAAATTAATATACATTTTAAACAGTGGCAGGAAATAAACACCTTAGAAAAAATAACTACAATTAATTAAATGATAAAAAACAATCAATAATCAACGATTGTACATGCTGCAAGAAAACAACATCTGTTGTGTCAACAAATAAAATGTGAAGATATCATTTTGACATTTTTTTCTCATCCATTAGGAATCCCCTCCTCAGTTTAAGAGCCTAATTTTTATTTTTTTATTTTTTTCGGAAGGAGCCATCTGCCTGAGAAGATTTTGACTCAATGCCTTCTTTTTGGTTATTGTTAGAGTTGTGAGACGTGTGCTGATGAAGGAAAGTGGAGCTTCATTGATGGCTCAATTGCCCCATTAATGATCAAAAAATGGTCAGTTATCCTAAACTGTCAAATCTTGGCGATCTTGGCATCACCGTTATGGAAGCCTGTGTTGTGCAATCTTCTCATATCTGTGTTTGCAGTCCAGGAGAAAAGTGTTTGGCAGCCTGACATTGTTTGAATTGTGTGTTTCAACACAAATAAATGGACTTATATCACATGATTTGCATTGCATTTAATGCCAGGAGGACCAGCCAGGAGGATGAGCATGAAGGTTTTTGAACACTCGGGCTGGATTCTGAACCTCCAGAGTGCTGACTAAGCAGTTACCAATTAGGGCTTTCGGCGGTGCACACATTAGGTCACATAGCAATGCAGTAAATTGAGTCATCATCCAGTTCCGAAGAACAACACAAACACAATTTGAAAGCACAAATTTATGGCAGTGAACTTACACGAAATATGAAAACTGATATAAAAGCACATTTTAGTTCTATTTATGTAACTTTTACCTAATTCTCAAGGTCTCATTTACTTTTCTAAGCTCAGATTAAACAAGTTTCTCCCTTGTTCTCCATAATTCTTGTCATTGATCTTTTGATCATGAAGCTTCTTTGGATCCAGACATATCTATCAATTCTTAAATAAAAACATCAAACTGTTAAAGACTTTCTTCGGTGACAATAGTGTTTGAAGTAGAAGCATAAATATGATTTTTTTGCCAATCAGTGTTATTACAGAGTATTGCATCAATCCAGTCGCACACATTCCCGGACTGGCGCACCACTCTGCACGACACCGACGGTTTAATGCCGGCCCAGGAACATTCTTTCCAAATAACACACAAGAATCCTTCTGATCGGCTGCTCGCCTCCTCAGTGTAGCATCAGAACCATGACCTGCGACATAAATCATCCATCTCCATGCATGTGGTGCCTATTAATGTGTGTATGCAAATGGAATGCCACGTCAGTCAAGATCATGCTGCGGGTATCAGTGTGTGAAGACCGCCCAGGTTGTCTGCGCCAGAAGTGATGAATAAGATATGGTTCAAAGTTGAAGGTAGAATCAGCTCAACCTTGCATTTTATTTTCAACATGAAAACAAAGCGAACATTTATTTAGCTGTGTGTTTACACCAAATGCCTCTGGAAATGTTTGTGAAAAGATTTATTATATATAAAAGGCATGATCTCAATTGAATTCAAATGCCTGCTAGGGTTCGTGGATTATTTTTCTTATTCTGATTTGGTAACAAATAAAAAAAGCATGGCTCAGATTCAATTTCAACTGTCAACAGGATTTTTAATGCAAACCAGTTTGGAAATTCAGGCTGAAAAAGACATGGTGGTGAGCATGAAGGTTCCTGCTTCAGGGGTGACATGTTTTATGGCTTTTCTGTGTGGAGGTGCATGTTCTCTGTGTACTCAGGCTGTCCAAAAGGGTTCATTTGTGATTTTGAATTGCCCCCAGGAGTCAGTGCGAGTGTGGATGATTGCTTACCCTGTTTATCTTTGTGTGGTGCAGTGATGGACTGCCAATCCATCCACACTATACGCTCTCCACTCCACCCTCTTCTGAAGCCTGATGCATATTACATTGTATACAGGAGAAAAAAACAGCTAGTTGCACAGAAAAAATTGCTAATTCTTTGTTTCGTGTTCAGACTTTGTGATATGGATTACATCTGAGCATCAAAAGCTGAGTGTGTATGATTAGTTGAGTGAAGTAAAGCATTAAACTTCTTAAACTGTTATGTTTGATGGTGGATTCTTGTTCTTGGGCTGATTTTCTGAATGGAAAAAAACAGGAAGTTGTACTACCTTGACATTCTTCAGCGGAACCTGATGTCATGAGGAAAAAAACAACAATAAGAAAATCACAGACTCACAAAACGATTTTCTGTTGTGTACAATGTGTCCTCCTCCAATCGCTTACAGTTGGAGAAGTAAGTAAGTTAAAATCCACATTAACCTCTCAAGCTTTGCTTCCTTGAGCAAAAACAGATCTAACTGCAGACATCTTAGCTCTCGAAAGCTTTTAAGTGGAAAAGAAAATCAATCAAACGGCACATAAAAGTCTTATAAAGTAAATGATCCATAAAATGACTTTATACACAATGGATTTTAACTGACTGTGGATTAAAAAATAGTGGTCTGACTATGTTAACTGAAAATATTTAATGAGTTTATAACTGTTTGGTCGTACGCCAAGAACTTAGTCACGGTTGATGATACTGAAGCAAGTTATATCATTAATTCCTTCTTCCATCCATTCCTCCATGCATTTGGCCACGCTATAGATTTACGCTGGGGCACTCCACCACTATGAAAAATACATTATAGCCTACTATAAATTCCAAAATTATTTTAAGAGACAGGCTAATAGCACTCATATGTACTTAGCTAAACTAAGTAGTTAAAAAACAGACCCACAAAAATGTCTGTTTGATAGATTTCTAGGTTTTTTAATGTTTGAACAACTGCATCAGGATGCACACACAGGTTGGAAACACAATGGTGTTGTCACAAAGATAGCTGTGCTTTATTCATGTTATAAAGATTTAATTGAAATAGTCCTCCATTAATATCAACTCTGTAATTCAAAGTTTTAATTGTACAGTTAGGAGGCTGTAAATCAAACTGAGTTTGACTTTTGTTTTATGATTTGTAATTTTGTAAATAATGGGTCACATAAAGTGGGGGAAATAAGTATTTGACCCCTTCCT